GCCAATCCAACCCGACGATCACATCTTCTGGACCTATGTCCGTGACCGTGAACACCGTCTTTTCGACGTGCTCTCCTATCTGCATCTGTAGCACTGCTACCTCCGAGATGCTTCCATCTTTATTGAGCGTTCCATCGATATTGTAAAGCGGGATTGGCTCTTTCAATTTCCGCGTTCGTACTCGATTTTCCTTGATGAAACGCTTGTTGATGAACTTCGTGGTGGCTCCGCTGTCCACCATTGCAACTATATCCTTGTGCCGTCTTTCTCCTTTGAGGCGCACCGGGATGTGAAAATGCTGGGACCCATGGTCCAACTCGTACACATTTGCGGTCGCCAATACATTGTACAGATTGTTACTACGCGGCCCGACGCGTGCGGCACGAAGCGCGGACCGGATCAAAAAGACTCTTCTTTGAGCGCTCGATAGTGCTCCAACTCCTCGCGCATCGACTTCATCTGTGCTATTAAGTCCGCCAGCTCGGAACTTTCCGATTTTGCTGAAGCGGCGCTTGTACTCGCCGAGGATGAAGCGACGGGGGCGCTTGTCGCCGCCTGGGTGGAACCCGAGGCAACCGTAGCCCGCGCGTCGACGCGTTTTGTGTAAGGCTTATCCTTACAATTAGGGCACTCAAAACGACGGTACCCTTGCTTCCCGCAGCCAAAGCATGTGCCAGGGAAGTCTCCTTTTCTGACGGCCGCATTGATGCTGGCCGAAGCTGCGTGTGTCGTAGGTGTACCTCTACGTGCCCCTCCGCGACCTCGACCTCGGGCCGAGAAGAAGCTGTTCAACTCGGGCCGACGGGCCTGGCTGATATCGAGGATCTGCTCGACCTCAGTGGCTCGCTTTTCAGCGGCTCGCCACGTGGTGAAGGTCTCGAGCTCGATCTTGCGATATACGCGGGAGGGGATACCGCTCAGGTACTTGTCGCGTAGTTCCAGGTCCCCATACCCGGAACGGTCCGCCGGACCCTTGAACAGCGCGGAGAATTCCGCCGTCGTGCGTTTTTCGCGGACCGACTTGTCCGCGCAGAGCTTCGCCAGCTCCACCTGGGCTGCTGCCGCATCGTCGAGATTGCCGAAGCGAGCCGTGAAGGCAGCGGTGAAGGCCGCTTCGTTCCTGAAGGGGGTTGTAACCCCTTGCACACCCATCTGCACCGATGCGAGTTGGGCGAAGTAAGGCGTGGCCCAGGCGCGGGCGTCGCCATCGAGCAGGCTTAGCGCAACTTGTACCTTCAGCTCGATGGTCGTCAACGACGTGTTGATCAACCAGTAGATACGAAGTTGCGACAGGAACCTGTCGCATTCGATGACGGTTTTGCCGTCATAGTGGAGGGGAAGGAGGAGCTTCAGGGTCTCCTTGTCGGGGGCGGCTGCAGGGGACGACATTATCGGCGTCGGGGGGGACGGAGGACGTTGCGGGGGCGGAGGCGGCTGTGGTGGCCTTCCGCTGGCCGAACTTCGAGAGGAGCGAGTGCTCGAGCGGCCTCTCGGCGGAGTCGGCGGTGAAGGCGCCGGAGGAAGTTCGGCGGGGGGGTCACGTACGTCAGGGACTGCTGACGCGGGGGCGAACGCTGTCGGCGAGGCGGACCCAACAGAATCCTCGGACTCGGACTCCGAGACTCCTTCTTCACCCTCACTCTCCTCAGGCTCTGGCTCTGGCGCAGGGTCTGGAGGGAGATCTCCTCGCGCTTGATCTGGATCGGTGACAACAGTTTGAGGGAGACGGGAGCTAGGGGAGACAGGGCGAGAGTGCCGCGAGGCCGATCGAGATGCTAGGGTGCTTCGTGGTCCGAGTGGGTGTTGCGCCCGTCGGATCGCTTTGTAGCACGGGTAATCTTCTGGGATCGATCGGGGTGTTCGATTCGGGCACGGTTGCTGCTCGCAACGGTAGATGATAGTCTCAGGACCGTCTGGGATGTAGACGTCGATGAGGTCCTGTGAGTCGAATGCGTGGACTTGGCCTTGGCAGGCAGCCACGTTGGATGGGGGGAGGAAGGGGAGGTGCGCGTACTACGAAAGGCCGTGCTATACTAGCTTACACCTACGGCGCCCGAGATGACACTGAGATTCGCAGTTCACGTAGGGCCCAATACTGCTTTTGACTATTATGCAGCAGGAACCAAGGCTACGCGTCCGTGAGGACAAGTACCTGTCACGACTTGGTACGGCGCCTAGCCGTTTTTTAATTTTTCCTTTTCGCGGGCTCGAACCCGCGACCTCTGTACTACCTGCCTGATACGGACGCATCATATCTACTGTACGATTAGATTAGATGAGGCGGCAGCGCACGGCACAGCTCGGGCTCCGCTGACACAGCCACTCTGACTCACCGGCCCCCGGGGCCGCGTCGGCATGCTGTGCACGGACCAGCTGCGCACGGACCAACGCACACAGCCTGCCCTAATCTCCCCATGTATATAAACCGGCCTCTGCTGCCCTAGGGACCTCAGTTTCGACCTCTTGTCCCTAGGTCAGTAAGCCCTTATTTGTATCCTTTACTTACCCTTACTGACTAATACATTTTCTTGTCCCTAGCCTTAGGTTTGAGCCTAGCTCACCATCGCTTCGGTAAGATAAGTCGAACGCCCCCAGCATTTTGGTTTTCCCCTGTCGCTCGACCCTAAGTCGCGACATTAGGTCGAAACTCCCCAACGCTGCCGGCGTTCCAAAACAAACACTCATCTTTCCTCTCCTATAGGTTGGGTGGTGCGCACCCCTACTATACACTACGATACGTAGATAAGCGTACTATACATCGCCACCACTTAGGGGACGAACTTTTCAGTACCTGCACTTCAGTGGGCGGTACTTGTCCTCACGGACGCGTGGACTAGGTTCCTGCTGCATACTAGCCAAAAGCAGTACTGGGCCCCACGTGAATTGCGAACCCTAGTGTTACCTCGGGCGCCGTAGGTGTAAGCTAGCTTATACGGCCTTTCGTAGCACGCGCACCTCCCCTTCCTCCCCCCATCAACGTGGCTGACGAATTCTTCGACTGCTCTCGACTTGAGCACGCCTTCGACACCCAGGATCAGGTCGACGTCTCTCGTGACGATCCAAAGAGCAGCGAAGACAGACCTCCTTTCTTCATCTGTGATCGGCAACCGTGCCCTAATCGCACTCCACGGTCCATCACTGTTGACGAAGGGC